AAACCTCTGCATTGATTTGTGAGATAGCTGGACTTGCTACGGTGATGCCACGTTAAAGCTTTCCTACCCAAGCCGTTATTTAGTGTGAAATAGTATCTGTTGTTTAAATTTCAATAAATTCAGACCTGTTCGATATGTTCCCCCCCCCAAGATGTTCTGAATATTTGGGGTAGTAGTCAATATTTTTGCAAGCTCTCTATTTTCCCTCTAAGTGTCAAGATTCAGCAACAGTGATGTTCTTCTGTAGAGAAAGGAGCATGAACTTAATTATTGAAATTATTTTTTCCTTAATCAACTTCTGATAGTTCTTCCATTATTGATTTAATTTTGTTTTTTCAAATTTTATTTGAGCACCCAGGTAGGACATACTGAATAACATTGTCTCCAGATGTGTTTTCCTGTAGCTCTTATATTAAAATGTCACATCCTTGCGAAATTTTTGTTTCATACACTACTTAGCATGTGCTAATTTTGATAATAAATTGTTACATAGAGCTTCTAGATATTATTTCCCATAATTTCATGTTGATTTAATTTTTTTCAATAGAGCTTTGTAGATTAAAATAACTTAAGCATGCTTCAACTCTTTAAAAGTAATTTATGTTTGTAGATATTCTTCTTAACATGCACTCTAACTTTTTTTTTTTAATTACAAAGAACCCATCTGAGATATAATCTGCTTTTCACTCTATGTTCTTTATTGCTGAGTTCATTCAAGCCTGTAGTGGATGTGGTGCTGAGAGAGTGCTGACACCAAGCGCAAACACTGCTGAAATGTTCTTGATAGTTTACTTTAGGTGCTTAAAGATTAGTATATCTCTCTAAGAACAAGTTTTTCATGCAGATTTGACCTTTACTCTAGGACATAATATGTCTCTTAGTCATATGTTAACACATTTTCCCACCCTGCTCCTTAGTGCTCCATTCATAGTTGTCAGTACCAAAGTCATCCTTCTCATTTGTTTCATAATCAAAATAAATTATTAAAACTCCACCAGCTTTATGAGAAGGATGGATTAGCAAAAAATTTGCTCTCTCTTTCTTGATTACAAGTGGGTATATCAACCGTTAGATATAATTCTTAATTGTGGAATATGTTAACCTTGTTAGAAGGATATTTTTTAATGTTTCTGAGCAAAATGAATTATTAAGGAGTATGAATGTGTACATATATGTGAGTGAAAGTAGGAGTACAGGTTGCTACAGTAGAAAATAGAACAGTTTTCATCTATTGCAAATGTTTTAAATATTCTCTTAAAGATTCATGTTTAGTTGTTCAGACATCAGACCAGTTGATGGATTGTTCTTACAAATGTGTTTAGGTAGCTTAAAGAATAGGTATTTTTTGGTTAATTGTTTGAAATATGATATTTCTTTCCTAGAAGTGTACAGGTGAGGAGGGATGTGCACATTTGCTGCCTACTGGCAAGCATTGCAAATTACAAGCCAACAAAAATGTTTATCAACAAAATTTTCTTGGCATTTGTTTGAGTGATCAGATAAATAAAGGCTCCACCTTGCTTATGGTCTTATCTCCAGCTATAGACAAAAAGAGATGCTCGAAAGGAATAGAATACGACAAGTCTGTATGATACTCTTCCACTCTCCAGCTATTTGCATCTTGGGGTATTTTCTGAACTGGCGGTAGTTCCTGTAAACAAGCAGTAGTTGTAGTTAGTCAATATCAAAGTGGGTAATTTAGTAAATATCTATTTTCCTTCTGTGTACTTCTTAAAATTAAACTATTTTTTGAAGAACGCTTCCACTTACCTGATGATTCTGTGTGATTAGAGACATACCTTATTTTTAAGAAAGGAAGGAGAGGGTCAAGTTGTATAAAAGACTTTTAAATGCCTTTGAAGACTGAGATAACTACACATGTGTATGTAGCTGAAATTAAATAAAATGGGACATAAAATTACTAAAGGTTGTTTTGCTAGACTGATCTTGTTGGTTATGGTCTAATGCATGTTGTGGTCTTTGGCCAAAATGTGTTTCCTAGACAAAGGCAATGTGGTGGTAATTTAAATCAGTTTTAATAGGGAATGTGGTACCATCATGCAACTGATCATTAGTTAGGATTAATTAAAAAAAACCCACTGTAAAACAGATTAAAAAAAACCCCAAAACTGACTCAAATGGGACAACAGTGGATCACGATATAAACCTTTATTTGTTTCTGGAAGGAGGTGTTTAAGACCAGTACTGTTGAGTGTTTTCCTTTAATGTTCCTTCTGCACTCAGTAAGAATGCGTTAATGAAACTTGGTGATGATCTGACATTGGTGCTGCAGAGGACGGGGATAGAGTTTTGCTTATGGCAGAGTTGTGCTGGAGCTCCAGGAAATGCAATAAGTTATGTCATACGGAATGATAATCCAGATGAGGCTTGAAGCACCGCTTCAGGAAAGGATACAGTACTTGTGTTTTATCTCGAGTGCTTACGGAATTGTTCACAGATTCCGTTAAGGAAGTAGGTGAAACAATAGTGAGCTAAGAAATCCCCACGTCAGACGTTTGAAGAAAATTAGATTTTGAATAAAATGTGATTTGTTATTTGTTTCCTTGTAATGGTTGTTTTTCAACCATTGTGATAGTGTTCAGTGCTTCTAGGGTTTTTCCCTGCTTCACTACTGAGCGTACAGTGACCAAAAGCATTACGAGTGGATGATGGCTCTTGGTTACTAAGCATTTATAGCCATAGGAAATGCTGGTCAATTAAGTACAGCTTGGAACAGGTATGAAATTATTGACTTTGTTGATGATCCCTTACAGTCTTTCCTTAGGAAAGTGCTGAAATGTGTTTTGTAGTTATTTAGTTGCATTAGTGGTTGAGTTTGAGGCTTTTAACGTGTTTTTTCCCTAGTCCCTTTGGGAGATGGATAACTAAGATGTTGATATAATAATGCAATATGCATACTGAGTGTAATTGTTTGAGAGAGAACGTATACTGTGGGGAAATATTGAATGGATCATGAAAGATGATGACCATTAGTCTTTTCTTTCAACTATTAAAATTAGCTTTAGGGTGTGTTCAGCTGTGATTTATGAAATTGTTTAGACTAACGCCTTCTTTGATGATGTCTGATGGAGAACAAAATGCTGAAAAGTACCATGATCAATGCACTTTCTTTTCACTTTTGGCAACCTCCATCTTCACCAATTAAATTTTCAAGTACTGTAGTGATTTCTCTTAAAGAGCAGAGCAACAGATGGACAGTGTCATAAATGGAAAAAAAAAATTCTTTGCTTTTCTTGAATTTTCACACATTTAAGCTAACAAAGAATAGTTTTAATTATCATATGAAGCTAAATATTTAGAACTTGATACTACATTTAAAAAACTCTTATGAGGATTAGTTGTGTATGCTATTTAGTTTAGAGTATTAGCGGCTAAAAGGTTGGTTTTTTTTCATAAGAATAAATGCTGCTTGAAGCTTTTGCAAACAGCTTACAGACTAACTTGATACCATGTAGTGGTGGTCATAAGAAGGCAACAGGGGAGGACCGGGGGAAGGATGGTGGGAGAAATATTCTAAGATACATGTAGCAATAAGGACCAATGATGCTGCTTGATGTAGCCTCAAAAAAATCCCAACCCCCCCCCATGTGTGATATTGTGTAAATGGAATTTAGCTGACATTTAGAATGCTGCCTGCCTATTAATGCATATAAACCGGTTATATAAAAAGTGATGAAAAGCATTTATAATTCATGGTGACTAATACATCACAAATTCCAATTATTCTACTCTTAATTGTGACTACTTGAAAATTATAATACATTGTTGCAATGAGAAAAAAATAGGTAGGGCCTGGAACATGTCAGGCTTTGAGAGATCAGCATTTGAAATCTGGAATTTTATTTTTTTTTCGGAGGGGGGCAAGGAAGGATTTAAGTCGCAAAGAAACAACATTGTTCTATGGGCTTTTGTGTGTGTCTGATCAAACCTTCATGTCACCAACCAAAAGGTAATTCTGCAACACTGAGCAGCAAAAAATGTGCTCTGTTGACACTGGGTATTGAAAACTCCTACATTCAGAAATGTGAAATTTATTTGAGAGATTTGCTGGTTTGCACTTTTTACTACCCTAATTTTTATCTCTGTCAACTTGTTGCTGTTGTGTGGGATTAAAAATAATCCTTGTGTATTTGTTACCCAATTCTGCTTTCTCCCCAGCTTTCCAACAGGGGAAGCAAGCCCCAGTGATGGGTCATCTGGGCTGGTTGCTTCCATTGTGCCTCTTCTGGGGGCCAGGCAAAACCTGCGTCTGCATGTTTGGGAGGTGCAGAATTTTGCTGTAATTCAGGGTTCTGTTGGGTGGAAGAAGTGTGCAGTGCATGTGTCTGCCGTTCCCATCATTTTGCTGTGTTAAAAATTCAGAGTGTGAAGACCACATAAAATTTTTTGAAACATATTGGATGCTAATGATGTAATATTTGGATCATTATCAGATTTTCTGAGTAGAAGTGGCTATGTGATGCTGAGCAGAGGTTTATTATCAGCATGTGTGTTGACTAGGCTTTAAGCTAAAAGAGAAATTTAAGTCTAAAGAATGAGCCTTACATTAAAGTGCAAGAGTTTGTTTCTAGCATCACTGAGGCTCAGTAAGGCAAAAAGCATTGGTGAACCAGAGTAAGTTCAGAATTAGTGTATAACGTAGCAAAAAAATAGGTGCAGTTGTTTGTTGGGGTGTTTTTGTTTTTTCTTCTCTTCACAGAATGAGACTTTGGGTAAACAATACTGTTCTGTTTCTTCATGCTGACAATGTTTCCTTCCTGATTAGCACAAAACTAGTGCTTTATATGTGTGCTGATGCTGACTCTGTAGCTGAAAATGTTTTTTTTTTGTTGTTGTTGTTGTTTTCTTTTTATACAACCAATTTCCTCTTCTTTTTTTCCAGGAGTATTCTGACTTTGTAGCTGAAAATGTTTTTGTTTTTTTTTTCTTTTTTTGTTGTTTTCTTTTTATACAACCAATTTCCTCTTCTTTTTTTCCAGGAGTGGCAGAACTCCATACAAAAGAATGCTGGCCTTGCCTTTATTGAGCTGGTTAATGAAGGCAGGTGAGTCACGATATTTGGTAACCCCTCTGCCTGAGCCTTCAAGAAGATGTGTAGCTTCAAACTCTTTTTAAAGAATTTTTCTTCTGCCTCTTTGTGCCATTTTACTTGGATGTGAGTCACAATATTTGGTAGCCCCTCTGCTTGAGCCTTCAAGAAGATGTGTAGCTTCAAACTCTTTTTAAAGAATTTTTCTTCTGCCTCTTTGTGCCATTTTACTTGGATTTTACAAGCATGATTTCACATTCTTTAATACTTCTGCTTAGTTCTAATAGTGAATATAGAGTTTTGCAGAATCTGAATGCTCTTCAGTTTCATTAAATATTTCACTTATCGGTGTGTCATGGGTTTTCTTTCTTCCTGTCCTTGTGCACTGGTTAACGTTGAAACTATAATTTGTATTCGGCTAATCTCTTGAGGAAGGAAATTGATATTTGGAAGACATTACAGCTAGGAATAGTAAGATAAGCTTCTGTCTCAAAAATTAGATTCCAGTTTGCTCATCTATTTCCTACCTACCTCATAAGATAGAAGGAAGAGTGTCCCTTTAAGGTACAAACAAAATCCATTGGTATCACCAGTTAGGTTTACTGTTCTGTAAGGATGTATGTATATTACTGGGACTCCCAGAAGATGACAGAGCGGGTGATGAGGCCATGCTCTTTGACTCGCAGTGACTATTCAGAACTATCAATATTTTCTTCATTAGAAATTGATTGTTCAGCCAGACTAAGAGCAATATTTACTTTTTTCTTAAGGATTTTTTTTAAAGATGTCTTGATGAGTCAGCTAAGGAATATTGTAAGAAATGCCATTTTCTAAGCCTAAATTCTGTTAGTGAGTAACTTGAGCTAGTAAGAATCCCAATAGAAAATAAATTTTACAGGATTAGGACAGCTACTGAATAAAAAACAAAATCATTTATCACATAAATTAAAATGCTATATAAATACCTTTTTATCATTGTAGGAATAGGGGGAATGGGTATTTGGGATTTTTTCTTTTCAAGTCTGTAGATATTCTCAAGATACATAAAAATAATGACTGTTTTAGTGGTTGCGTTTGGGTTTATGGTGAGGGAAACACCATTCTGAGGCAGAAAAAATGTTTTGCTACTAGTCTTGATCCCCAGGGCCAAGGTAAAGTAACAAGGGTGTTCAGTTACAGTGTTAAGATCTAGCCTGTAGTTGTTTCCTATTATGTGAGGCTGACCTGTCTTGACCTTACTTATAAAGTGCCTGCTATAAATTTGGCCCTTGATTAATGTTTTATTAGCATAGATAACGCGGAGATCCCCCACACACGTAAAGCAGAATGTGAGGTTCATCTGCGTAAGATGATTATCGTGGACAAATCGGTTGCTGGGACTGAGCTGTAAGCAGCTAGTAGCTATTCAGCTTGTCCAGGTCAAGCTTTCAGAGAGCATTCTATCCGTAAGCTGGTTGGAATTGACTGTTTTCTTTTCAAAACCCGCAGTGCCCATCACAGACAGATGGAATCACTCCCCCACCTCCATAAACAACATCCATAAGTTATCGTCTAGCCCTGGCAGAGCGGTTGTCTCAGGGACAAATGATCCCTTGAAAAGTGTGGTTTTGGTTAGCAGAAAATATCCAAGTAATTGTTACTTCATTTTGGGTCTGACTTGGAGCAGAGTTGGTTTTTTTAAAAAGGGGAAGAATAACTTTCATTCTAGGGAAGAGGAGAAGGGATTAATTTCTTAAAAATGGCTCCTTTTATCTGTCTCCATTTTCCTTCGTTGCTGTTTATAGGAGCCTTTAAAGTCATTGCTGAATGGCTCGTTGCGGTGCTTTCTGGCTTTTCAGCATTCACTAAAATGAAACTGTTATACCTCATGTGACACGAATTACATTCCAGAACTACTCTTTTCTTCTCTTTATGCAGGTTGCACATTATTTTTCTTGCACATATGCTGATATTTGTACTAAAACATTTCAAGCCTTGTATTTTGTTGTATTTGATATTGTGTATTTTTGCTGTAACATTATAATTTTAAAAAATCCAAAAGCTGAAATCTTTAAATTCAAAAAGAAAATAGCTGAATGATACTGATTTAGGCTTTAACTGCATGATTGTAGAATAAAAGTTGAATTTTTAAATTGTTTCTAGAAGTATTCAATAAAAGAGGAATAAAAGAAGACAAGGTAGTTGTACAGCTGTATCAGCTGTCCTGATTTCAGCTAGTGAGTGAGGAGGGATTTCTGTGGGGTACCATGACATGCAGAGTGTTAGAATAAATAAAATAAAATTAAGAACTAGAAGGTATACCTAAAATTTGTGAAATCACAGAATTGCTATTGTCAGGTGTGTTGGTGGAAAAAGTCTTGGTCATCCTATAACCTTTGTAAAGCAGGGTGTTATTCCCAGTGTTTATTACTAATTTTTGGACTAATACCAGTTTGAAGTGTGTGCTGCTGTTTTTGGTTTTTTTCCTGTTATGTGAAAGGTATGAATGTACTTCTCTCTCACACCAGTTGAAAGTTTTTATGTTTAGGCTTGCTGTGTTTTGGCTAGGATTCCCTGGACAGAAATATGTGCAGAAAGTTTACCTCTGGGACTCATAAGATCTACAGTATGTGTGCTGCATTCAGAACGTGTCGGTCTGAATTTCATCATGTTCACAAGTAACTCATGTGTTACGCATCTAGTTGCTCTCAGGCTTTCCAGATATATCAGGTCCACTGCACATGCATAGCAGAATTGATTTGTTTGTACCCAGTGAAGTTTTTGGATCCTGAACTGAAAAAAATTCTTTAGACAGGAGACTATTACGTTAAAATACAGAACTGTCAGCCTACCTGAAACTGAAATGCACACCTCAAGTCTTTTGAAGGCCAGGTGAAAAAAACCCCAAAAAACAACAACCAAAAAAAAAAAAAAAACCCCAAAGAAAAACAAAACTGCCAAAAAACCACAAACTAAAGCAAACAAACACAAAAACTCCAGAGCAACTGTGCAGAGGAACAGGAAGGTGCAGAATGTAAGTGAAAAGCTAAAGGAGCAGGTATTGGAAAATAACCTCCTTCTGTGCCTGAAAAGAAATGTCAGTTTCAGTACATTGCTACATTGAACATTAATCTGTTTTTAATAAAAAGGAGTAAGTATTGTTCACTGTTGTTGTAATGTCTAGGAACTCTATTTCTTTGCAGCCTTGTTCAAAAGGTGCCTGTACCCACTGCCTGTCTCTGCACTGCACCATCTGTGCAGCAGAAGTGCGGATCCCAGAACGTTTTCCTTAGCCTGCTGACTAGATTTCAGTCTCTGTGCTTGCCTTTCACCTTTGGGTCCTCCCTTTAGGGAGAGTCTGGTTTGGAACCTCAACCTGAGAGCTTGCCGATGAGGAATTTGTTCACCAGAACCGTCCTTGAGGTGGGATTTGGTTCTGTCGTAGCCAGTCCTATTCTTTGGAGTTTTCCAAGGTGTCCAGGCAGATTCCTTTTTTTTTCTACCCTGAAACTAATTATGTTTCTTCCTTATGCAGGAGATGGTCAAGGTATTCTTTCTGAAATGGGGAGGGGGAAAGAAAAAAAAAGAAGGAAAAGAAAAAAAAGCAGCTTTGACTTCCTTGGGTGTACAAATGTCTCTTATTTCCTCGACTAGTTAGCAAACAACTCCTCTGCTCTGCAGAGGTTAAAACTCTCTCTTGTCACTTTGATTCATTAGCAGACTTTAGTGTGAAACATCTCTTATGCTAGACCGTGTTTTCTGTATCAGTCAGTGCATTAACAAACGTACTCAAGCTTAAGACCAGGCGTGACAGTTGTTATCCCCTTTGGGGTGGTAATGGGTTTGGCATGGCAGGGGTGGAGGGAGCAGTCTCCTAAGCATGCTGCAGCAATTATTCTTCCTGATTTTCAGTTGAAGAGACTCAATTTTAATTTTCTTAAGCATAGTTTTCTTGGTCATCCCAAGAATTAAGTGCTGTGTTCTATAGATGTGTTTTTATATGTGTGTAAATGAATATTCAGACAGTAGTTGCTTTAAAAATCTGTCAGATGAAGTGCGATTGAAAGATAGCCTCATTATCCAACTGAATAGATGTATAATACCCTCTCCTTTGCCTTTCCCCTTTCAAATCCTTAACCAAAACAAACCAGCCAAACTTAACAATTCACAAGTGCATGCAGGACAAGCAGAACTCATGAAGTTTGTTTTCTGTAGCTGTTTCTCATTGCTAGATTCTCTGTCTAATGAGAAATGAAATCTAATCGAAATTCTCCTGCCATATCAGAGGATTCTCCTCCTGTGTTGGGTTTTCTGTTATAGCTTTCAGTGCAGATGAAGACAGATTTTTTTTTTTAAAGGATACTTGCAACGGTTTTTGTCCTCTGTTGGATATAAAACTTGTATAAAATTAATATTTTTGAGCAACTCCAGCCTTCTATGGAAAAAAAATGGTGTATTGTCCAATGAATTCAGAAGTTACTTGGAGAAGGAGGAGGGCAGGCAGCATTCAAGCCTAATATCCTTAGCAAGTAAAAATTCCACCAGCCAACCAAAAAAAGCCCCAAACCTCTCCAGACGTAACCAGATGTAACTGGTATGAACATAACATCCAGTAGTATCAAATCTGGAATGCTGTAATCATCTGTATTTCTAGAGCAATTTTTTTAGGAGGAACTGTACTAAGAAAATTCCAACATCTCACCTGCTGTTCCTTCTCTTCAGTTGTATATATATTACTTTTGACTGGTCCTAGATGCAAATATTTTTTAATATTGAAATAGTTGGCAATCAAACTAGTTGGCCAATTACTTGCACACTTTTCCTAATGGAAAATAAAGGACAGATGGAGGCTGCCCCATTCAATTGTCTTCCACTTGCCATCGTGCGGTCACTCTCAGGGAATGAATGTTAGAGAATGTGTTGCCATAGGAGCAACTACTGTGATGGAAAACAGTTAGAAAAATACAGCTATTAGTGAAAAAAAAAAATGGATTATAGCTGACAGACGTAGCTTTGTGCATAATTGACCAAAAAAG